GAAAACTTCGCAATGAGTTGGTTTTCGACAAGAAGGTGGTGTCGTCCCCGTCGACCCTGATCTACAAGGCTCTGCTGCTGGCCAAGTCGTGGCGCCCCCTGCTCAAGCCGAAGATGATGCCGATGGCGGACGGAATGCTAAATAATATCTCCTCGAGAGTTGCGTCTATGTAATCCAGTTTGGGGGATGCTGTTTATGTAGCCTTTTGTTCCCCCCCCTGAATTCTTTTTCCTAGTTGTTTTTGAGCTATCTGTTGAGTTCTTAGTTGGAGTTTGTTGGTACAAGTTCTGGGCTTTTGCCTTAGTACGTTCCTGTAATGCTGGTCTTCCCAGCCTCGGACCATTGGTGCTCGTTACGCTTTCTAATAAAGTGGGGTGAATACCTTTGGTCTAAAAAAAAGGCCCTCTTTTGCTGCAACTGCAGCCGTTCTCCTTTTGTTTTCATCTGACAATTTCAGATGCAAATCTTTGACTGATACCTTTTTTTTAAGAAACCTCTTAGAGTGCGGTGAGTTCCTGCTCTTCACTTAAAAAGAAAAGGAATTCGCCCGGTCTATAAGGGAAACTCAACCCAAAAATCTCACAATTGCACGCTTTGTTAGAGAAAAATCGACACAAAAACTGAGCACGATAGCCCAAACAACTAAACCCAAAGCATCCCAAAAAACTCAGCGGCAAACCTTAAAGATGGAGCCTGCCGTGCATCATGGTTGCTTTAGCAGTTCTGACTCTCCACGGCGAACCTCAGCCAATGCCCACCAAAACACACTTTTTTTTTTTTGCTTTAACAGGTATGGATGGAACTATTTTTTCTGTTCCATCACATAAAACAGGTACACATGCAAAGGTGTTAATAAGGCATTGAAAAATTAGCTCATATTCGTCAAATTAATTATTGCAATCGATAGCAAATGTAAAAAACCATAACACTACTTTCACACACTGGTAATTCTTCCTGATATAATGATACACAACTCTCCTGCGTGTTCAAGAAAAAAAAAGAAATAACAATCCACTAAAAACACTAAAAAGAGCCATTTGAATTCCTTTAGCTGGCATAAATTTTAATGCCCCATTATACATGCATGGGGCTATGCTTGTTACACTTACAAAACAAACTGAATCATCAAACATGTTAGCAATAGAAAAATATAAATGAAGTAAAATATTTTTCCTCATCCTTCACCATAATAAGTCAATTATATTATCTCCATTATCCATGCAATGTTATTAGCGAACTTTTAGAAAGTTTCATGTGAAAGAGAATTCTTTATGTCACAAAATTTCCTTCACAAATCCTATTAGCGAAGAAGAAAGGCTATTCTTTCATGTTGAATCACAAACACTAGCAAAAAGTTAAGCTCATAATTGATTCAATTTCCAATGAAACAAGAGATACAACAACAAATAAAATGATCTTACCATTGTACATGAATATAGTAAAACATTCAGTGACAAGAATCTATACTCGTCGATATATGAGCTTTCATTCATCCAAAATCATTCAAATGAATACATCACATTGTTCAATCACAATTTAGCCCGTCTTAATGCCATATAGACTATAGTGTAATGTCATATGAAGCAAAACTTGTGGCTGGAAAACAAGTCTTACTAACTCAAAACCATAAGGAAAACATATAGATAAGCACATACGTCAATCATATCATTCTATATATACAACACAATTGATTTTTATATTGCATATTTTTACGTGGAATATACATACAAGAAACTAGAAGACTACCTCGCGCGTTGCTGCGGGATTTTCTTAAAAATAAATCTATTACATATGTAGCGTTACTATATGGTATTATATATATATATATATATATATATATATGAATTTGACTTGCATGTTATTTTATTGTATCATATTTGGTAAAAATCGATAAGCTAATAGAAGAAAAATCAATAGAATATTTAATTAATTATAGAGGAATAGGTGATGAAACAAAGTATTGCACATGATAGAGATGACGTGGATATTTTTTTAATTAATAAGGGATGACATGGACTTAGTGAGGAATGATGTAGACACCTTGTATGAAGAGAGAGAACATCTAGTGAGTCACGTAGTGGAAAATGATGTATACACCTTACATGAAAAGAAAAATCATCTAGTGAGATTTAGCTTTTTCTTAATTAATAAGGAATGACATAGACTTGGTGGGGAATGATGTTGACACCTTTTATGAAGAGATAGAACATCTAATGGATCACTTAGTGGGAAATGACGTGGACATCTTGCACGAAGAGAAAAATTATCTAGTGGGGTTTAATTTTATAAGAGTATATAGATATAGATTAGAAATAAGAGCAAGGATGGATTCATGTAGTAGTAAACTTTCAACTTGAGGTCATGTTTGCTTTGCTGAAAAGTCATGGCTGAAAGTACTGTTCGCTGATTTGTTGTGAGAGAAAAGCACTATTCATTTACTGCGATAGTATGGCTCATAAGACGAGCGAACATGACCTTAATGTGGTAGCGGGTGCATTCAGTACTAATCCGAATTATCGTTAGTTCAGCATATACTAAACTTCTACCTTCTCTTCATGAAATACATGTTGCAAGGACACGGTCCAAGAAAAAAAGAGCAAGGATGAATCTACAGGGTATGTCAGGTGACCATGGCATACCATATAGATTGGGCCCAACACAGCCCATGTTTACCTTACCGTCGCTGGTCGTCTTGTCTTCCATCCGCGCCGAGCGGGCTCATCCACCCTGGACCTGGATTGACGATGACAGTTGGAGTCCTGACTTCCAAATCCTGATCGTGATCGAATCGTAGCCCCTCGCCAGTGATCGGCGGCTCCGCCGCACGTCGTATAGGACCGACGGCAAACTGGTGGTGGCCGTTGGCTGGCAGTCTTGGCTCCTGCCGAACGGCGACCCGTTGCATGCAAGGTAGGGTTTCCTCTTCCTTCGCCTTCCAGCTGCCGTGCCGTGGTGCCCCATGCGGCCATGCCACAGCCACCGAGCCATAGGGACATGACATTGACATCGCAGCCTCGTCGTAGGTATTGTCTTTTTTTGTTCAAAATCTGTCCTTTGTTGCTTCCATTCTCTCCTCTAGTTTGCTACTACCAATTCATTTCTGACGAGTGATGTACAGGTTGCCATGTAGAATTGTGGATGATCATGCATTGACTGGCGCACAAGTTTTCTAAATGAAGGATTCTGAATTTGCAGCCACCGCACGCATATAGGTTGGTCCTCCACTCATTGTTACTAGCCCGATATCTGTATGTGCGTAGTGATTTGGATGATCATGGTTAGATTCTCCTGACCAGAATTAGTGAATGGGCTACCCTCACATTAGCATAAGAGTCTGTCTACTAGGCGAGTGTTTTGGAGGCCGAAAGCACTTGATTTTTTTTCCCACAGCTTCTTCTTCCTCAAGCTCGATGCGCCGCCGCCGCCACCACCCACTGCCTACCGCCCCGCCATGCCACGGTAGAGTCCCGCCGGAGCTCCGTTGCGGCCGCAAAGCTCCAACGAGACCCTACCGCACCCGCGGCAGCCTCCCCCCTGCCATCATGGTCATGGGCGCTCCTACCCCGACCTGGCCCGGCCGCCTCCTACGCCGTCCTCCCGCCGTCCCAACCACCTGGCCAGCCTGCCTCCCCCGAGTCCCTTCTAAGCCCACCGTAGTTGGGAAAGAAGAAGAGGGGGAGAGGCCAGAGATGGAGAAGAATGAGAGGGAGAGGAACACTCGAGTGTCACTTATCATTTCTCTAGCATAAACAAGACTCTCTTTTGGAATCTCAAGCTCAATTATATATCAAGTGAATTACGGAGTGCTCGTGTATTTTCAACTATCGATATGGTATTTTTAAACTGTTTGTGTTGTAATAATGCACTGCTTAGTCTTAATTACTGAATGTAAGTATCATGTCAGATTGTATTTTATACCAAATTGTGGAGCAAATTTTATATATGTTTACCATATTGCTAAATGTATTTTATCGAATTAGTATATATAGAATTTAGGTGTGGCATACCCCCCTTAACAAAATTCTAGATCTGTCATGCTACTATCATGGTAAATCAAATATGCTGAAAAGCTCTTACACCTTGGTTGCCAGTTGTCAGTCAAGCGTTCTGACATATGCAGCTTGCTTCGGTGATTCCAAGTGACTCAACTGCAGTGCCTGAAGAATTGAAGATTGACAATCCACGGGCCCTAGCTAGGACTAGTAGTAAACTAGTAATGCAAGCTTTGCGAGTAAGCTATCACTTTCATCAACATGGATCTCAGACTTAAATCCTCCTTTAATCAACCTGTTTATTCTCTCTGTTAGGCCCATCAGATGATAGCTGAGACAGTGATTGCCGGTGGGCAACGGCAAGTACACTTCTTGTTGGAACATGGAGCATGGCCTTGTTGGGGAGTAGTTGGTTTGTCCAAAAAATGAAAGCTCCAGCTAAATCCGACAGACCGACATCTCAGGAGGCTCTGTCCGTAAAAGGGCCTGATCTTGCCGTTCCTCACAGCTTATATGAGCTGTATAGAAGCAAGCCAATGAACCATGCCAACAAAGCATTCGGTTTCCAGGAAGAAAAACGAGATATTCTGAAAAGTTCATCATGGAGATTCTGGTCCATCATTAAGACAGAGTAAAGCATCTAGAGAATTTTATCTGAATGCCAAAGAGAAACTTTACTAGCACGAAAGGATGAGCTGTCAAGTTCATCATACAGGCCAGTACTATTCAGTCTGGCATATCACCGGCCAAGTATACCTGGGTAACATTTAACAAGGGACGTTACAGCACTATTTACAGAGCAGAAATGTTTTGCAGAGAGGCCAATACAGTGGCCTTGGCTAAACCAATTCTGCTGCGTGCTGATCATACCCTTCACACGAGCCTTATGCAGAGAGTAGTAGTAATTCTCAAGAGGGGCGGAAAAAGGAGCAGAAAAAGAAAAAGCAAGCGAAGGAGTAAAAGGTAAACAAAAGGCACATACATTCCTTGTTGAAATGATCACTGCGATCATCGCTTCCAGCTCCGGCAGCGCAGGACTGCGTCATCACCGCCGACGATCCAAGTCTCCTTGGCAATGTCAAGGGACACCTTGAAGAAGTCCGGCGAGTATGTCATGAGCACCAGGCTCTCCTTTTCCTTCTCTTCCTCTGGAGTCTTCTTGGCGGCGCTCTTCACATCCTCGGACTCCTCTGCCTCTAGCCTCCTCGCTAACCCCTTTGCCGGCGCCGACCGGCACCGCATCAGCATCAGCGCGTTCGCCGGCGGGGCCACGTCTTCCTCCTTGTCCTCCTCCTGGTTCTGCTCCGGCTCTTGTCCCTGCAGCTTCTTGGTAGACACCTTCTTGCCTTCCTCCAACACCATGAACCACCGGGCCAATGCCGCGCCGTGCTCTGTTTCCTTCTCGGTGCGCGGCGCATCGTCTTCCTCGTCGTCGTCATCCTCCCCGGAAGTGTACCCCACTCCCACGGCGCCGGGGAAGCTGCCGAAGCAGCCGGCGACGTTGAACCTGAAAGCGCCGTGCAGGGCGTCCAAGAGCGCCATGGCGTCCTTTTTTATCCCTAGCGCCTGCAGCCACGTGGCCTTCTTGGTCTTCTTCCCACCGCCACCGCCACCGCCTCCGCCGACGGGGCCCTTGGGCTTGGCCGGGCGGGCCTTGATCTGCCCCACGCACGTCACCTTGGGCGACGTCGGCTCGTCATCCACGGGGACATCCGCCGCGCCGCGGCGGCTCGGGTTCCTGGCTGTGGTCGACTTGTAGAGCCCGCTGGGCGGCATCGGCCCCGCCCGGCTGGTGCTGTGGCGGCGCTTGACCACCGGCTCGGACGCGGACGGCCGCGACGGGCTGCAGATGGCCTTGGGCGGCATGAGTGCGAGGTGCGCCCGCGACGGGAAGCAGACGAGCAGGTCCGTGGCCGCGCCGTTGCTGCCCCTCCCGCCCTTCATCGTCGCGACAGCTCGGCGCGCAGCAGCTCGATCGGCGCTCCCTCCCAGCGTGCGGCTCCTCCTGTGAAGCATGGTGCTCTGTGTGTGTGTGTGTGTGAGAGAGAGAGAGAGAGGAGAGAGTGATGATGATCTGTTTATACTAGGTGTTTGTTAAAAAGCAGGCGGCCGGCCTCCAGCTTTCAGTTGGTGCCAGCCAGCGCTTAAAAACTAAGCGTCATCATGGAGGAAAAGCTTATGCCAACATGCACTCACAGCTGCATAATCTCGTCGTGATGCTGACGTGTCGACAAAAATGATACGTGTGTTAGTTGCCATGCTGCGGTATGCTGCTTGGACACGCTTGCAGTGACATCGATATCAGCGTGGTGTTCGGTTCATGTGTTGGTGTAGTGTTTAGAGGCTAAATTATTCGGATTTGGGAGAACTAATTGAGGTACTTGATCACGGTGTTGTGAGATGAGGGTCCTTTATGCGGTCCTTGCTCTTTTTTTTTATGAAAAATACTTTTTTTTAAGATTATATAATCTACACTACTGGTTTCTCTTTGAAGCAAGATATATTGTTTTTTTTCCTAAAAAAATAAAAGCTAGGTAGTTCATATGATCATCCATCACTACTAGCTTGGGCCAATCCAATCAAAAGAGTATTTTTGTATTGTTGCATAGCATATAGGGGAGAATTGCTCAATGCCAATTGCCAAGTGCGTCATTATGAAATGAGCCAATGAGCCAAGTACGCTTCGTTCTACTAGTATATGTAATATATACATGGCCATCGTAATAAGAAGAGGCGCTGATTATTAGAGGGTATTTAGACCAGATCTTAACAGTTGACATGATTGACTTGATCTACTCTGCAGACTGCAGGCAGCAACTGGAGAAGAAGAAAAAAAGCCATGTGCGCACGGGTTTGGTGTACCATCTGGAAGACGTACTGTACGTGCGGAGCCAAGGCAAGGCTGGCATGCACGCACCTAGCCTAGTAAATTCCATGCTTCTGCCGTGCATGATCTTGCCTAGATTTGTTCAATGGGATTTGTACAGAGCTGGCTCTGAATGTGATCGTCTTCTCCGGATCCGGGACAAGCCCAAGCCTCTGCATTAGTAGGCGACACTAGGAAAAAGGAAGAAAACAGAGAGATACAGAACCACTCCAGATGGAACGGCTTTGTGATCCGTGCTCAATGGCTGCTCTACTGCCGTGGCTGGTATTACAAAGCTCCGGCTATGATTACCGTCTCGATCACAAACCTTAAAGCCATTTCGATGACATAGACAGTAGTATAAACGATCGCTCGTACAAGTGGACATGCGACGCTGTAGGCAGTATGCACGTACAGTTGCGCTACTTGCTTGCTGGTGGTGTTCAATGAAACGCGTACAGGCCCATAACTCACGCCGCCCAGTACCTCGTGACAGTCACGGCATCTCCGAGTGGCCAGGGCACGGCAAAGGGAGGCAAAGAGGGAGTAGTGTGGCCGGCGCGGCGCCAAACCGCATAATGGCCATGCGGCGACGCAGTTTTTCTTATCAGATCAGTTCTATCCCGCCCGCAGAGAGATACATAACAACGCTTATGATTGCCTCATCTCACAGCCACTAGCCCACGAAGCTTCAAAGCCAAGCTAACCGCATTTTCATTAAAAAAAAACTAACCGCAGCGGCAAAGACGCACACATGACACATAATATATGCATGCACCGGGCCCGTTTGGCTGATAAGAAGTTGGCTTGTTCGGCTTCTTTTTTTAGTCGGAACAATATTTTTTTCTTACAATATTTCAACCGCAACGGTGTTTTTTCAGCATGAACGGTGCATTTTTTCGTACCAGCCGAACAGTGCCCGGCGCGTTTGTTAACTACTCCTACTATACTATAATCCCTCCATCAACGCTCCTAATGATGGCCGTTCTCGTACGATTAGCGCCACCAAATCATCATCGCTAATGGCGCCTCGCGTCGCTCGCGGCAAATTGCAATTGCTTGTTTTTGTTTAGCCGCGTGCCAATGATGACGGATGGGTCGTTGCGCTAGCTTGATTTGACGGGAGAGCGAGCGAGAGAGCGCGACGACGTGTAAAGAGGAGCCGTGCCTCATTTAAGAAGAAGGGGGGCTCGCCATTATGAAAGGGACGATGCACTTGAGAGCTCCCGCCCCGGCGGATGGCCCTGGCCTGGCCCCTACCGTCCACTCACAAAGATTCCCAGTCCCGAAGCCATGGAGACTCGTTGCATGCGCTGCGGGGGTCGATTTGCTCCGTAGTCCGGCACGCTAGCCATTTGCTTGCGCGATGCTTTGCATTGCCTTGTTGCTGTTTGAGTGTTTGGGGCCTAGCAAAAAAAAAAAAACATCGTAGGCAAATTTTGTAAAAGCAGATCGATTTCTCTTCAGTCCCGATCGTTCAATGGAGTGTCGTCCGAACCACTTCTTTTGTTCTTTAGCGCCATGCTCTTTCTCATCCATCACGGGGATAGAGAAGCGCGCAAGAACTGGCGTCTCGGCTGATGAGCCGTTCTTCGATTGGCGGAGGAACGCACCTGAGCTTCTGGGCCTACGTTAGAATTTGTTAGACGGAACTGGGCCTGATCTCATCCATTCTAAGCATGAGGTCCATCTGGAATTTTGGGTAGGCCTGATCCGCTAAAAAGAACAAAAAATGGGCTTCTCTCTTTACTGGGGCTATGGGCCTTTTTATTTCAAATGTTCCGAAAGAAGGCCTCTAGGTTTGGTTGTTGTCATTTGTATGTTCGATTATTATCAAAAAGAAAAAATTTCTCAAAAAATTATCAAAAAGAAAAAGTTCCATTCTATACCTCTCAAGCTTGGATATTCGGGTTATCCAAAAATGAGGGTTTTGAGAATTTTGAGTTACCGTAAATGCTACTCAAACTCACCCGAAAGATGCTACCGATTCAAGTATCAAGTTTTGTGCCCACTCCTACCGATAAGGAAAAACAAAACAAATATCCTGAGCCAAGGATGCTGCTGTGCCAATTCGAATACTAGATTACTCCCTCGATTCACAAAATAATGCAATTATGTTATCCGTGCATATCCAATTGAGCTAAGTTTGACTAAATTTATAGTAAATAGTATTAGCACTTACTCCGTCTCTAAATAAATTTATTATAAAAATATATTCTAAAATTAATCTAATGGTACTTATTTTGTATAAAAAATATTTATACCTTTTTTTATATAAATTTATTCAAAGTTCGGACTATTTGACTCCTCGAAATTAGAGAATTACATTCTTTTATAGACGGAGGTAGTATATATGTCTACACCCAATTTATTTGATAAACCTCGCATTTTACGCCATCCATGTATCATCAATGTGCTTAATAATTCTTCAACTAGGGTGAAAATCAAGGATAGTGCTCTCAATGATAAAGCGGTAACGTTGCTTTGTGGGCGTCTGTCCGCCGGGACGCCGCCTCTAAAAAATCTCCCACTTCGCCTCATAAGCTCCGGCTCCCATTCGCGCCATCAGCAGTGACCACCTCCGCTTCCTCCGTCTCGGGACCCTCGCCCGCCTCCATGAGGCTAGGCTCCACCGCTGGAGTTGTGCCTCCTGTAACACCCTCGATGTTACACTCTAAATCATTTACTAAAACATGTCATGAGCATCATGTTTATGTGTTAATGCATATGATAGAATGTATAGATAAATTCTTATAACTTAAAATGATCAATAAAAATGCTAAATGAAAGTTGATTCATTAGCTCATGTATATCAAGTATGGTTGAAAGCCAATTTTTATTAAGCAAAAATACTATAGAACATGTGTGTGATACTTAAATAAAGTTTGAAGTACAAACTTTGTAGATGACAGTGAAATACTTGCTGTCAAAAAATAATATTACTAGCTAATATTTCTACTAGCCTAGAAATTGTAAATTGAAATCAAGTTCAGCTCAAAACTTAGAGAAATTTCTAAGTTTGTCAACAGCTAGACATTGCTATGTTTAGCAAATTATTTTGAGAGATTGGGTTAAGTGATGGTGTAGTGTTATAGCTCGATTTGGTTATACCTCGATTTGGTAGTCTCATATGCCATCTTGAGCATGGTGAAGATGGTTTAGATCCAGAAGCAATCGTTTAGTTTTTATAGGCGCTTTAAAATTCGTGCACGTCACGTTCTCGGGCTGGCTCGCCGGGTGGACGCGGTCACCAGGCTCGGGCGCTTGGCGTCACCGCGCTGGCCGCACGTGGCCGGCCGTGGTTGCCTCTGGCCTGGCTGCGGCCCGGCCGCCGCTGGCGCCGCCGTGCGGAGCCGTTGCTGCTGCCGCCTGCCCCGCCCCGCGCCACGACGGAGTCGCTGCCGGCGCCATCACCTCGCCGTCGCGTCCGCTCTACTGCCCTGCCTCACGTTGCCACTACCGATGCCACTGCGATACTGTGCTGCACTAATGCTGGCCTTATCCTCGCACACACGTGGGCTATCCCGTCTGCCTCGCGCCGTCGCCTCGCCTTAATGGCGCCGCGGCCGCGCATGCCGCGCCCCCACCTGCCTCCGTGCGCGCGCACATGGTCTGGCCGCATTGTCGCGTAGCGGGTGCGTAGACGCCGCCTCGGGTCCGGTCGGCCGCTTGCCGCCAAGGCGAGGATGAGCCGAGCCAGACCTGCCCCTCCCTCTCTACCACCGCGAATGGCCGACCCCGCTCGCTTAATTTGGCATGGTTGAGTCACCATCGCCCGATTCATCATGTCCCTGGATTCTCCATTAAGCCACCCGACCCCAGACCCCCACCCAGCCTTGATGCGTGCACAACCAAGCTCTAATTTTGGAATTTCCCCGCCGCCGTGCCAATAAGGCCGCATCCAGTCGTGGATGTGGGCAACCCTCCTACCAACCATCCCAAACCAATTCACCTGCCCCACAAGTTTTGCCTTGTCTCCCTCTCCACCTTGCGCATGCCAGCGGAACCGCTACCGCCTTCCCGTCGTCGCTGACGCAACCGTGTCGCCGCGGTGCATCGCCGCATGGCTCGACCACAT